AAAAAAAAAAAAAAACCCTATAAGCCAATTACAGGACCAGGGGTTCGTTTCCTGGGGTGACCTGCTTACACGGGTGCTTGTGCATGCCCATGATCCTGGCCGCCTGAGAAAGGCTGGTGAGGGGAATCGCAGTGTGACATTCTGTTAAGATTGCTAATCTTTCTTTTCTCTCTCTCTCAACAAAAAATATGCATAAAAGAAAAATGTCGGGACCAGCAGTTGGAGTAATGGCTCTGTCACTGGACTCCCATGTAGTCGACCGCAGTTCGAGTCCTGGACTCGGTAACTTAAACTCACACTGGGTACGTGTGTGTGCGTGCCCAAGATCCTGAGAGGAAAATGGAGGAGAAGGGATTGCGGTATGGCCAACCCCCTGGGGGGTGATTTCTTGCTTTCTGTCTTTCTGTCTCTCTCTTTCTGGCGAGTGCACGCTCCCTATAGCAAAAGCTTCTCAAAAAGAATGAAAGAAAAATGTCCCTAGCTACATATGACTTAAATTTAATGGAATGTTTTCCCATTGCAGTAGTCAAATTCAAGTGCTCAACAGGAACAGGTGCTTGTGGCGACTCTGCTGGACAGCACAGACACAGGACATGTGCACTACCACAGGAGGCATCAGATGGGCTGTTGTGGAGAAGCCCTCAAGTGAGGCCTGGTGTTAAATAAGAGACTGGCAACTTTGGTTATGCTGTAACTTTGGTCAAGAGACTCCCTGAGCTTCCGTTTCACCTGTAAAATAGAGATAGCAAGCTATTCTATTGGTGGAGATGTTGTTAATATGTGTAAAGTTGCTCAGGCGCAGTGAGCCCTCAGTGTGTGTGGTTATTACCACTGTGTGAAGCTCCTTCACCTCTCTACAACTCAGTTCCTTGTCTATACAATGGGTTAAATAATAGTACTGACTTTGGAGGTTGATGTGGAGACTAGAACAGCGCCTGGCACACAAGGAGCACCCAGAATGCACCAGCCTTGTTCAGAGGGCCTTAACACTTTTTTTTTTTTTTAATGCCTTTACCATAAGGCATATGTGCTTGCCAGAGAAGAGAGAGACAGAGGAAAAGTGAGAAATCACCCCCAGGCTGGATAGCCATACTGCAATCCCTTCCCCAGTCTTCTCCCAGGATCTTAGTCACACAGGCATGCATGCTTGCATGCCCAGCATGATATTCAAGCCACTAAGTCCAGGACTCGAACCATAGTCGGCCATGTGGGAATCCAGTTGCCTTAACCACCACACCAACTGCCGGCCCCAAGGGACTTACACATCTTAATTAATTTAAACCTCACACACACCCTGAGGAGGCTGCTATTATTACCTTCATTTACAGATGAAAAATCTAATGCCCAGAGAGGTGGAGTTCCTGGTCCTACATCCCACAGCTGGTTAGTGGCAAAGCTGAGGTTTCCCTGAGCAAATCCCAGAGCCCAAGTTCATAAACACCGTGCCATGCAGCTTCTCAAAGGGCGGTGACTGACACTACACATCTTTATATACTCAGAGTTTCTTACAGTCTCTGGGTTACATTAAATGTCTTCATAAACTCTTGGAGTTTCTTACCGTCTCTGGGTTTGTTCCTTCTTTCAGAACTGACTAGTCACATAGGGAAAGCTTTCTGGGTAGGGCTGACACATATGAAACGCTTGATTAAGAGACAAAATACGACTTTTTGGTTTGTTTGTCACTGTATAAGAAACAAGACCCAAATTCCTTCCTGAGGCCTGCAGGCTAGGTGTGATCATTTCCTGCCTACCTCCCCGTCTCACGGCTGGATACCTGCCGTCTAGTAATGCTGGCCCTGCTCTCCTCGGAGTCTTCGTATCTCCTGCTTCCTCTTTTTCTGCATCTTTGCAGGGTGAGCTCCTTCCCATCTCAGCTTCGACATCACCTCCTCCAAGAAACCTTCTCAGAACACGCTAGCCAAAACCACTCCTGCTTTCAGCCAGGAACCATTTACCAAATCCAGACATTTCGTGTGTTTTCACACCCTTGCTGCCACCAGAACCCATCTTCCTCACAGGTTTACTTGAGTGACATCTCTCCTTTATCACAAGGAGGGCTGCAGGACCCAGCTCCCTGCCTTCTACCTCTAGGAGCAGACTGCCTCCAGCATGGAGCCTCAGGGACTCCAGGTGAATGAATGAAAGCTGGAACGCCTGGTTAATGAGGCTCTCTAAGTCCCAGGCTTCCATGCCTGATCCCCTATCAGACTCCTTTCTCTTTGGCTTCTCCTCGTTCACTCCTCATCATCTCCAAGGTGGGTGCCTCTGCCAGCGCAACCACGATCCCTCTGATCTGCACTTGTGTAGTCAAAGTCCTGACCACTCTGGGAGTGAGGGTGGGCTTGACGAGACCACAAGACTCCAGAGGAGCCACAGACACACAGACACTGATCACTCTGCTCATGCTTCCAGATCACCCCCATGACAGTCTGGGCTGTCACTGTCAGGCGATGGGTCTGTTTCCCATCCTGGACTGTGAGCTCAGCACAGGGTGGACCACAAAGGAGGCCCTCACAGGACAACAGCTACATGAAATGACGTCCCACATGTCTGACTGGGAGGGTGAGCAGAGGGTGGGGAGAATCTGCACTCTGCCCAACAACCCGGCTCTGAGGGATAAGGGAGGAGAGCCCTCCCACACACCCACACCCCCAGTCTCTGACCTTCTGACCATCCAGAAGCACGCGGTCTCCCAGACGCAGGCCCAGCGCGCTGAGCATCAGATTGCCTGGGACATTGTCGTAGTTCGGTAGTGTGACCTTGGGGAGGGCGCAAGATAGTGGCACGGCCTCCTCCAGCAGCGTTCGCAGCTCCTTGGCCACCAGCGCTGCTTCTGCCTTGTCCAGGGACATGTCCATAGGATCTGGGACCACCTCAGCTGGTACCTGTCCCTTTCGATTCTGAGGACCAAGAGAAGAGAAGGATGGGAACTCAGTGATGCAGGCCACGCCACTGTGGAGGCCCCGCCCCTGTGGAGGCCCTGCCCCTGGAGTCTTGGGGAAGCAGGGGTGGGACTGGGTCATACCCTGGGCCAACACGGGAATAATGGGGCATCAGGGTACAGATCCCATCCCTAAGGAAGGCCAGCCTGAGACCCAGGGATGAGGATGTGTGTTGAGTAACTGACGGTGGGACTGGAGGTGGAGCCAGTAAGGTACGAAGGTCACACTCAGTGTAGCAGACCACGCCTCCAGGGAGGATAAGCCTCCAAAGACCCCAAGCTTGAAACAGAGCCATGTAGAAGAATGAATTTCAAGAATGGGCACCTGTGGCACATGGTCAAAGGTCAAACTGAGGCAAATGGGGAATGAGAAGAGGCAGAGTCTCAGGGCCACAGACCATGTGCCCACAAGATAACCATGCCTGAGATGTTACAGAGTAATTGGGACCGGGGTGGGACCTGTTAATGGATGGTCAGGGGACAAAGATCATCTATATTGAGGGCTTACGAAGGGTCCATCCCTCTCATTCTCAGAGAACTTTACTTTCTGCATAATCTTAAAATGCTGTCTACACACACACATACACACACGTGTGCACGCCAGGATCAAAAGAAAAGATAGTCCTTGCTGGGTAACCCTGTGCAAATCCCTTAATCACTCTCTCGGTTTCCTTACCATAAAACAGGGCTTATAATACACTACACTTGACATATAAAGAACAGTAAGTAAATTTCAGCAAACTTTCACGTTTGTAATACTTTTGGGAGTCTAAAGAAATGCAGGTGATCCTTGTCTTCTGCAGACGCCTGCTGGGAGGAGGTAGGAGAGGGAAGGAGGAGGGTAATGAGGGCCCGGCAGGTGGCAGTACCCTCAGAGCAGGGTTGGCGCCATGCTCCAGCAAACATTTGGCCGCGCCCAGACACAGGTTGGAGGCAGCGATGTGCAGGGCTGAGCCGTGGTTGAAGTCACTGCACGTGGAGTTCACCACTGGGAAGTGGGCGAGAGAAGGGTTCCGCGTAAACGCTTGAGAGACTCACGGGAGTCTCGACCTGCTTCCTACCTCCTGAAGACCCCAGACCTGGGCTGCAGAGCACCGCCCCCGCCACATGGCTCCACCCCTCATTTCTCAGCCACGCCCCTCCCAACAGGCCCCGCCCATTCCTGGGGTATGGACCACTGAGCCCTGTCTTGTTCTGCCTCCATTCCCTTGCTATTTCCTCGGGTCCAGTCCCCTCCCAGCCTGGCCTCAGGTCTGCCCCATCACTACATGTGCCCACCCTCGCACCCGGCTCCCCTTACCCCACACACCCTGGGCGCCCTTCTCCTTCTGGTAGGCTCCGCCCCTGCTCCTGCCCCGCCAGGACTCGCTTCCTTACCTCGCGGTCGCGCGCCCTTCAACAGCACGCGGACGAGGTCGGGCACGTCGAAATAGGCGGCGTAGTGAAGCGCGTTCATGTTGGTCCAGCGGCTGCGCAAGGTCACGTCGGCGCCCAGCGCCAGCAGCTGCTGAGAGAGACGCACGGCCGCCGCAGGGTCCCCTGCACAACAGCCAGGTTAGCTTGGGGCCACTCTTCTGGAGCATTGGCCCTGCGCAAGGGCAGGGCCGTGGGCCTCAGGGACTGCATTTAGGGATTAGGTTGCGCGTTCCAGATGGGGATCTCAGGGCCGAGTTCTAGGTGGGTTTGAGGGTGTGGGGTCTGGGGCCCGAGGTTTGGGGGCTTCTAGCTTGGGTGCGCGAACCCTCACCGACTCCGTGGGCCCCGGCCTTGCACGCATAATGGAGTAGTGTCATGTCGGTTAGCCCATCACGGTCGTTCACGTGGCAGCCTCGACGCAGAATCTGCAAGTACCAGGGGACCGGGGAGGGTTACCCACACAGGTGGAGGCCCACTCCCCTCCCCTCCCTGGCTTCCCCAGTGGTCTCACCTCATTGCCAATGACGTCTATCTTATGCTGGACTTGGGGCACCCACTGGCGCACGATGGCAAACAGTTCTGGGATGGTGGTCTGGGGGTCAAACAGAATCTCCTGGCAGGCCGGGTCATTGGGATCGAAGAAGGTGAAAGCTGGGAAGCAGGGGTCCAAGTCATCCCAGGCACGCAGGCCTCCCCTGCCATCCCAAGGCAGGGGAGCTCTAGGTTTTTGCCTTAGAAAGTCTCTAATGCTGGGCCTCAAAACTGGTGCCACATGGGCCAGTCAACCCAGAGGATAATACCAAGTATCCAAGTCAGGTAATTTCACATAAAAATCCAGGTGTCGGGGGTTGGCAGGTGGCGCAGTGGTTAAAGTGCTGGACTCCCACGTGGCTGACCACAGTTCAGATCCTGGACTTGGTGGCTTGCTTTCTCACTTTCCCTTTCCCTCTCTCTCTCTCTCTTTTTTTTTCTTCTTTTTTTTTTTTTGGAGAGGTTTTTGTTATAGGGCGCATGCACTCGCCAGACAGACAGAGAGAGACAGAGAGACAGAAAGCGAGAAATCACCCCCCAGGGGTATGGCCACGCCGCAATCCCTTCTCCTCCATTCTCCTCTCAGGATCTTGGGCACGCACGCACACGCGCCCGGTGTGAGTTTAAGCCACCGGGTCCAGGACACGAACTGTGGCCTACTATGTGGGAGTCCAGCAACATAGCCATTATGCTAACTGCTGGTCCCCTCTCTCTCTCTATTGTCAGATTAATAATAACAAATAAAATTTTAAAAATAATTTAAAAAAAATCCAGGTGTCCTGTGTTTGTTTGTTTGTTTGTTTGTTTGGAGAGGTTTTATGCTATAGGGTGTGTGCGCTCGCCAGAAAGACACAGAGAGACAGAGAGACAGAATGCGAGAAATCACCCTCCAGGGGGGATGGCCATGCTGCAATCCCTTCTCCTCCATTCTCCTCTCAGGATCTTGGGCACGCACGCACACGCGCCCGGTGTGAGTTTAAGCCACCGGGTCCAGGACGCGAACCGCGGTCGACTACATGGGAGTCCAGCGACATAGCCATTACACTAACTGCTGGTCCCATCCTGTGTGTTTTTAAAAACTGGAAGATCAGGCATTTCCCATACAACAGTAAACTCCACCCTTTGAAATGAGTATGGTAGGAAATGGGGCATCTCAGAGTCTGCCCCCTACAGGGCTGCTAGTGTGCTAGGCCATTTTAGCCCTGTCAGAGTATGGGCAAGTCTGGCCAAACCTCCAGAGTAAAAAAATATATAAGCTAGAAGTCCTGGTTTTTAAGAAAACACTCCCACATTTTTCAAATACTATGCAGTCCACATGGCAGGAGATCTTCAAACATTTCATGAAAAATACTATGAAAAAGTCTCTGCAAGGCTGTCCCCATAGCTGCGTTCCACACGGCTAACCACGGCTCAGTCTTGGCCCCAGCGGCTTGAAACATATGTTGGGCACATGTATGTACATGCCCCAAATCCCAACCGGGTGGAAAAAACAGAGCAGAAGGGATTGTGGGGTGACCACATCTCCCTCTCCATCTTTCTCTGCCAAGCACATGTGCCCTTTGGCAACAAAAAAAGAAAGAAAAAACTATGTATGAATTTCAGGTTTTGTTTGTTTGTTTGTTTTGGTACCAAAACAACTTTTACTTTAATTCATTTTCCCACAAACTGTTTTGTTCTGTTTCAGTTTGCTATAGGGCACATGCACTTACTAGAGAGAGACAGAGAAAGGGACAGTGAGAAGTTAGGCCCCAAGGAGATGGCTATACAGAAACCCTTTCTCCATGCTTCGCTCTGAATTTTGGACACACATGCACACACACTCAGTGTGTTCTCAAGCCACCAGGTGCAGGACTCAAACCATACAGCCGGTCATATGTGATTCGGCACCTTAAACTCCACTCCACCTCCTGGCCCCCCACAAACTTTTTGAAGTCTCCTTGAAAAATGTACCCATGAGCAGGACCAGCCTGCAGCCAGCCAGGGTGGTGCCTCCTTAGACTCTGATGAATGTAGCTCTCGGTGGCATTGTCTGCACCGGGCGGGAACTCAATGTGTGTTGAATGAATGAGAAAAATGATCAGATCATACACAGCTCAGGGAAGTGGAAGGCGTTTTGAGGAATTAGCCTGTGTGCTTTTTTTTTGAGAGGTTTTTGCTATAGGGCGCGTGTGATCGCCAGAAAGATAGAGAGATAGAAAGCGAGAAATCACCCCCCAGGGGGGATGGTCAAGCCGCAGTCCCTTCTCCTCCATTCTCCTCTCGGGATCTTGGGCACACACGCATACGCACCCAGCGTGAGTTTAAGCTGCCGGGTCTAGGACTTGAACCGCGGAAGACTACGTGGGAGTCAAGCGACATAGCCATTACACTAACTGCTGGTCCCATCCTGTGTGCTTTTTAAAGATCCCATCACATCATAACCTTCCTTGGCTCAGAACCCTTCCCTGGTTCCCAGCTCACCCAGAGTCCAGACCAAAGTCCCCACCACAGCCCGCAAGGCCTTATGTGATCTGGCCCCCTCACTTTTCTGCCCTTTCCTCCTCATTCATTCTCCCCCAGCCACACTGGCCTTCTGTCCCTCCAACGTGCCAGGCAAATTCCTTTCTCAGGGTCTTGGCGCTTGCTTTGCCCAGCTGGGACAGTCTTCCCTCAGATCTTCAGAAGGCTTTAAAGATCTTTGCTCAGATATCACCTTCCCTGAGGTGCTCCCCCAAACTGCCCTAAGTCACATCCCTATTCTCCCATCTCCTGCTCTGTTTTAATTTTTTTTACTCTAGCACAAATCACCATTTTTAAAAGAATGATTTATTTATTTAATTCCATTTGTTATTATTTCTTAACTCAACCAGAGAGAGAGAGAGAAAGGGAAAGGGAGAAAACAAGTCATCAGATCTGGGACTTGAACCGTGGTCGACCACATGGGAATCCAGAGCCTTTAACCACCATGTCACCTGCCGGCCCCCATATCACCATTTAAAACAGTATGGCTACTCCGTCCTCTTTCCTTTTCTCCTTCCTCTTCTCTTTTTACCCTTCTCTTTCTTTCTTGACCTGTTCACTAGGATGCAAACACGATGTTTCCATCTGCCTGTTTTACTACCTGAACCCCTAGGCTGGTCACAGCAATTGGCAAGCACTAGGTCTCAGTCAATCTCTGCAGAATTTATGTACAAATTCAACGAATGAATACACGATTTCCTCTTGGAGCCCACCGTAGTCTTCTCTCTGTCCACATCTCCAGATTCCTTTACATTCTGTGACCAAACTCTTATTCTACAAGCAGGATCCTTTGGAGGGCCCAGCCACATCCAGCTGTGTTTTCTAGTTTCCAGGGGGTAGGCCCCCCACCCTGAACCCCCAGACAACTTTCTCATTTTTCTTTTTCTTTTTTTTTTTGGAGAGGTGTTTGCTATAGGGTGTGTGCGCTCGCCAGAAAGAGAGACAGAAAGCGAGAAATCACCCCCCAGGGAGGATGGTCACGCTGCCATCCCTTCTCCTCTCAGGATCTTGGGCATGCATTCACATGGGCCCAGCGTAAATTTAAGCCACCGGGTCTGGGACTCGAACCGTAGTCGATTACATGGGAGTCCAGCGATGTAGCCATTACGCCAACTGCTGGTCCCAACTTTCTCATTTTTCTATCAGACTGAAGTCAACTTGTAGTTTCTGTGATCCATCTCTAATGTGTGACAGGTCCACAGATGCCATCTCTCTTGTCCTATCCTAGAGATGCCAACTCTCTGAACCTAGTGCCTGGTTTCTGAATCTCACAGCTGCTGGGATTCTCAGCCACCCTCTTCCCTTCCCTTCCCTTCCCTTCTCTTCCCTTCCCTTCCCTCCCCTCCCCTCCCCTCCCTCCCTCCCTCCCTCCCTTCCTTCCTATGCATGCATATGTGCCCAGCATGATTTTCAAGATGCTGGGTCTGGGTCTTGATCTATGGTCTGTCGTGTGGGAGCCTAGCACTTTAACCACCACACCACCTGCTGCCCCCTCACCCAGCCAGTGTCTTCCAAAACCCTCTCCTATAGCCAAGTCTGGTTCTCTACCCCATAGCCAGAGAGAGCTTTTAAAACAATAGGAACCAGCAGATGGTGTAATGGTTATTATGTTGCTGGACTACCACATAGCCAATCATGGTTCAAGTCTCAGACTCAGCAGCTTAAAACTCACACTGGCACATGTGTGTGAGTGTCCAAAATCTCTAGAAGGGATTGCTGCATGGCCATCCCCCCTAGGGGGGTGATTTCTTGCTTTTGATCTCTCTGGAGAGTGCACATGTGTGCCCTATAGCAAAAATCTCTCTCTCTTTTTTTTTTTTTGGAGAGGTTTTTGCTATAGGGCGCGTGCGCTCGCCAGACAGACAGAGAGAGACGTAGAGACAGAAAGCGAGAAATCACCCCCCAGGGGGGATGGTCACGCCCCAATCCCTTCTCTTCCATTCTCCTCTCG